TATATATATATATATAACGTGAATGTAAAAGAGGTGGAACATATTTTGAGAAATACCGTTAAATAAGATACAACCCCTGATGGATACTTTTTTTTACCTATATATAATTTGTCTTTTGATTAATTTATAACATGTATTCATTAAATGATTTGTATTTATTAAATGATTTGTCTCTTAAGGTGACATGCACGCATATATTATTTAATCTGGAGAGTTTCTAAAAGGGTAAAGCATGCCCGTATATGGATACCCAGAAGTAGCGTAATATATATTGACAAATAGTTGTTATAACGCTGGTCACCCAAAGCACAGAAAGCAAGCATAATTATACGTGTATACATAAGAATAAATAAGAAATAAATTAAAGTTGGAAAAGAGATAAAGAAAATAAAGAGCATATTCGTTAAATGGAAAACCTAAAACATAAAAGATAAAGGGAGAAATTAAATAAAGGACTTGAGTAATTTTTAATTTCTTTTGTGAAAAAGTATATAATAATATGTTTAAAATAGCTTAAAAGAGATAAACATTATATATGCATGCAAATCTATATCTCATACGATTAAGTAATCTTTAACAAATTTATAGTCCATTTTTTTATTTATTAGAAATTTTCAATAAAATACAATAGCACTATATTCTAATACCGATGGATTGAATATAAAAACATTTGAAAAGCAATTACAATATTTAAAAATACTGTAATTTATAGCATATATATTTAAAGTTTCAAAATTAGTCCACATCTAAACTTTTGTTATAAGGAATGAAAAAGTGAATTGATGGAGGGCCCCATTCTGCTGAAAATCCTATAACTAAAGTGCTACTTCTTCATAGCCTGCTTTTCCTTTAGTTTCCCTTTCGGTTTTCTTGATCACCAAAAATGGTTAAATTTAAATCATATATAGTACGTATCCGCTTGCTTGCACACGAATTATGGAACAATTTTTATGAACCAGAATCATATTTTCATGTTCAATTCTGTCACGTCCCAACCGACACCAACGTTGCTAAGCATACTATATAAACCATAATAATCCAGTTCCATGTTCATTCCTACGTTATTACTACAAATCTAGTAGTTTTGGTCACATTCTCATAAAACACTCGTTACGTCACATTAACATCTCTAGCTACAACTTACAACACTTCATTACTTCAACATGTTGTTGACATTGTTCTCAACGGCCGCCGCAGAGGGTGTTCCGGCGCCGTACAACTCGACGGTGGCGACGCGGCTGGGGCGGCGGCGGATTCCGATACACACGACGTTCTACTGGAGCCACAAGGTGGACATACTGTTCCGGTGTTGGCCAGGGGACAGCGCGGGCATGTACGCGGTGGCGCTGCTGCTGGTGTTCGGCATGGCGGTGTTGGTGGAGTGGCTCTCGTTCACCAACATCGTGAAGCTCAAGCCTGGGGCCTCGAACGACGTCGTTGGGGGGCTCCTTAAGACGGGGCTATACGGCGTGCGTTCCGGGCTCTCTTACTTGGTGATGCTGGCTGTCATGTCGTTTAACGGAGGCGTGTTTGTCGCCGCAATTGGTGGCCACGTCATCGGTTTCTTGATTTTCGGGACGCGGGCTATTATTCGGAAGAAATCGGGTGGGTTGGATTCTTCCAAAGCGTAGCGTGCACCCGTTTTCGAACTTTGGAATGATGCCGTTGGATTGGGAATAACGAGGATCGTTCGTGGGAGTGTGATTTTTCTGAATTCTTGGGAGAAATAAACAGATGAAAATGGTTGAAAACGGCGTGGTTTTGCCTTTCCTGCGATGGTAAACTGCCAAGAAAAATAAATTATGATGGTGTTTTTGCATTATTGTAAGTTAATTCGTTTCATGAAAGTGGAAGAAATTTAATTTAATTGGATGCTTTTCATAATCTGTGCATTAGCTAATCATAATAGTAAGTATCATTAAATCAGTGAACAATGTCTTCAATATTGCAAATTCAAAGATTACAAATTCTTGTTAAAGCACTATAAAAAATAAGGTAATTATTGGGGGTTATTTTCTGGCGGTCCCAATAAACCGCCAGAAAATGTTAACTTTATGCATTTTGTAGCAGTTTTAAACCGCCACAAAGTGATTATATTTTCTAGCGCCCAAAACTAGCGTTTACAATATATATGCCACAAACCGTTTTTGGCGACCATGGACCTGGCGGTCGTTGATGACGCCGGTAATGCGATTTGTGGCGGTTTTTAACCGCCCAAAACTCCCAAAATAACCGCCACAAATCACATATTTTTTTTGTAGTGAAGATATCTTTCGGTTTCAATTAAGTATTTATCTTAGTTAAACGATCATTCAATTCTTGAAGTTATATATATACAATGATATAAAGTATTTACACACAATAATGATGTTCTATTGTAATAATAATTGAGATTATATTAAATGAGAGGAGATATTCTGTATCAAACTATACAAAGATACAATATTAAGAAAAATATATAATTATTTAAAGAGAATATAAGTTTATTTTTTATATATAAAATTATAATAGTCTACTAAAAAGTAAAAATTTTGAAAAAATCTTATGTTTTTTAAGTGAGATGAAATTGTTAGGAAACATACTTTTGCTCTTGTGACACTATGTATATAGATCGTACGTTTTAAAAATATTAAATTCATGTAAAAGATGATAAGCAATTTTTTTTACATTAATTAGAAAATACAGAATAATAATCTGTAATAAATATATTTATGAATTACACCGTTAATGTAAAAAAATTTTACATTGTTAATCAATTATATTTTTTAATTGTGTCATGTTATTTTTAAAAGTAAATATGTTTTCAATAACATAACATAATTAAAAAATATAATTAATTACCAATGTAAAAAACTTTATATTAACAATATATAAGTGATTATCTCTATATTTATTAAAGGTTGTAGGGTTATATGTAGTTACTACTCCTTAATAGTTGTGGGCTTGTTGGGACATTATATATAACAACAATCAAATATTTTTTTTTTTTCTTGTCTTTAAAAGCATTACTAACAAATAACTGTATGTAAAGGATCGTCTTTTCTAACTCGATCTTGAGTGAATTCGGAGAAACATACGGTAATAATCATGTAATTATGTAACCCGACACTATTATTTTATCCGTTATATCTTCTTCTTTTATTAATAAAATATTAAAAAAAAATACATGAGTCCTTATTAAAAAAAATCCTAAAACTTTTGGCAGAACAATAAAATTAACATTACAAAATTATTTTAAATTTGAATTAAAAATCATTGACAAAATAATCTCTCAATTGTTGAGTTCTATGTTTGATAGACAAGTAAGAATGAGGTTAACATGTTCATCTTAATGTCTTGCTCCACAATAATTATTGAGTTTGGAAACTAAAACTCAATACTTTGAAAGCTTTCCTGCAAATCACAAATATTCCATTTTTTTGCTCCCTATTTTTCAACTTGGCTAACCTTTTTTTCTCTTTTCTCATGCATAACTCGCCTTTTATCAGTCTTTGGAGGTTTGTAACCTAAACCAAATTGATCCTTATTTTTTATCAATTATGAAAAATGACAGCCCTGCGTATTTTTTTCCCAATCCACATCTATATTGGTATCCATTCTCTAACATGATCTTAGTTGCCATCATGGGAACACCAAATAGTTGTGGCTTCATGATAGTCTTTCCATAATTAACATTTGAAATCTCAAGCCCTTGAAATGAGGTTTCTAGAGCTTCTTCAACAACCTCGATATAAGGAGTGGATGAAGGTTTACTAACTAAGTCCTTTTCAACCAAGATAATGACCAACTTGCTATCAACAATAAATTTCAACTTTTGGTGAACTGTGAAGAGCACAACTCTTCCACAATGAATCCAAAGTCTTCTCAAAAGACAACTATAAGCTGGTGCAATGTTCATCACATGAAATATTACCTCAAAGGAAATAAGATGATAAGAAAACTTATTTATTCGATCACTTTCCTACGAGACTTGTCAAAAGCCCTCACTACCATAGTGCTTGGCTTAAGGTATGATTCATCATAAGGAAGTTTTTCCAATGTTATCTTTGGCATCACAATTAGTGAAGAACCATTGTCAACCTAAAACTCTTGCTAAGATATGGTCCATGCACTTCATTGATATGTGCAAGGCTTTATTATGCCTTGTTCCTTCCTTTGACACCTCATCATCGATAAAAGTAAGGTAATTATTAATAGTGATATTTCTAACAATACTTTTAAATTTCTCTTCAGAAATGTCATGGATGACATACGATTCATTCAGTATCTTCAACAATATTTGTCTATGATATTTTGAATTCATCATAAGTGACAAAATTAATATTCTAGATGGGAAAAGCATTTGGCACCTATATTGTGCTAGGCTCTGGTTTGTTGATATTCAAAACATGTTTACCTATAGTATAGTGGACAACTAAGGGTTTTGAGCATCCTAATATTGAATCAATAGTCAATGCATGACTTTCAAAATAGTCAACTTGTACAAGTTTTTTATCTATTGAATCTTGTAGGATCTGCTTAAACTTATCATATTCTTCAATTTCATGACCTTTACCAAGATGTAATCCACCCTACCAACATCCCAAACTTAACCATTTATTCAAAAAAAACATTTAGGGGAGTTTTCACATCCTCCACCTTCCTTATCATGAGTTTTTATTCACCTTTTTCAATATCATTAATGTTTGGCCCTCAATGGCTTGGTAGAGTATTACTCCTAATATTATGATTATCCTCTTTGAAGTTCAACCACCCTATTTAAACCAAATTTTGCACCTGGAAATTTAAAGCAATACAACTATTCAGGGTATGACCAACAACACTTGCATGATAATCATATTTGGAATTAGCATCGTATCCCCTAGGATATGATGGCTCTATGGGTTTCATCGGTAAGGTGCTACCAATGAGTTTCGTAATAGGAGAGGGAACAACTCGGTATAGGACATAAGGATGGGGTCAAACTTGATTGGTTTTAAATCTTGGATGTTTTAGGGTCTTGTTTGGTGAGGACTTTAGTTCCATGGTTGATTAGATTGAGGTGGTCTTGTGGTCGGTGTTGTGGGTGAAACATGTGGAGCTTGGTGGGAAAGTTGATGAAAATGGGAAATTTGTGAGATAGTGGTAATGTTAGGGTAGGCCATGTGAGGGGTATAGAAATGAAAGGGTTTGTTTTTAGGCATCCTAAGAGAGTTGTGTAACGACCTAGCTAGTCACTACACGCGGCACAACACACTGGAAACACCAGACAGATAGAACAAGTACATAAATATAGGATCTAGAATATATAAATATACAAAGTCCCAATCTGACTAGAGTTAGAGTGTACAACAAAATACATCCTCAATGCTACACCAAGTAGCTACTAACAAAAGACACAAAACATCCCAAGAGGATCAGCACAAACCACCAGCTACAGCCCAACTACCAGCGTCCGACCTATCCCTACTCTGCTCCCATACATAGTATGATCATTGCAGTCCAAACATCATGGAAACAACCAAGGGTAAGCTAGTGAAATTAAAAATCGACATACAAATATATGGTAATATGAAGAGCAACTATCAGCACACAATTACAGCTTATCCTACTATATAATAATTCAACAATAACAGCACCGCTCAGCGGCTATAACAGCACCACAATAGTGGCTAACAGCACCGACATAGCGGCTATAACAGCACCACGATAGTGGCTAACAGCACTGACATAGCGGCTATAACAGCACCACATTAGTGGCTAACAACATTCAGCTCAGCAGTAAACAACATAACACAGCAAAACAACATACAGCACAGTTAAGTAGTACTCAACACAGCCTACTACTCACAACTCAACTCATCATTCTGGAGCACAACACTATTATATAATACAGCATATACAATCATCAATAACAGCACAGCTCAGCACAGCATCATATATCTATTACAGCTCATCATCATATTTTTTTCAGCAATAACAACTAGTCAGCACAACATAAACATCTAATTCAGCTTAGTTCAGCATAAAACAACCTCTTTCAGCAAATCCAGCAAAGGTAAACAACTAATAGCTCATCAAGACAACATCCTCATACGCGCCCGGCGCACCCATGGATGCGCCCGACGTGGCACATCCAGAGGCACCATGGGACCAGCGCGCCCGGCTCAAGCATGCTCGCGCCCGACGTACCTCAGCCAGAGAGCTCAAGGATCTCATGCACCTGGCGCAATACTTAATTGCGCCCAGTGCAAGCCCAGGCAGAGACTCTAAGGAGGCTCATGCGCCCGGCGTAGCCTAACCCGCGCCCAGCGTGGGGAAGGCAGAGACCTACCAAGGTCTCGCGCCCGGTGCAATTCGAATTGCGCCCAGCACCCTCTTGACAGAGACCCCTAGGGAGCCTCCGCGCCCAGCGTGTCCAAACACGCGCCCAGCGCGGCACCAGAATTCCCAAAATATGCCACTTACTGATAGCGCGTCCGGCGCGGTCCAAGCCACGCCCGGCGTGGGCCATCCAGAGGCTTACATTCACAAGCTCGCTCGGCGCACACACCTTTGCGCCCGGCGGGCTTGCCTAAATGAAGCCCCCAGATGGTCACGCGCCCAGCGCGAAGAACTGCGCTCAGCGCGCAGCTCAGCAACAACCCACCAAGTTCGAAAATCTAGTCCAAAACCTGCAAAAATTCCCATTTCCAGCACATGCAATCTAGCCAAAAGTCCTTAATTCCACCAAAGATCAATAAAAACGATACATTTTCCACATGCAACCACAAAACAAGAATTGTTCAAGAATTTCTTCAAAAACTCCCAAAAACCAAACCTTAATTTCAGAAAACTCAGCCAAGCACACACAATTTCCAGCAGCCACATGAGTTCCTAACCTATTTTCAGCCAAGAACACAACAAAGTTACTAGCTTCCCTTACCTCGGGCAAAGGTTCCG